TGTTTTGTGTCTCTTCCATCAACCACTGAGGGCCAGACGTTGATATGACTGCAGTGTGCACTCACATTTGCACCTGAATTGAATGTTTGATTTAATGAAACTACAGCTTATCACACAAACTGTGTGTAGCCCCACCCACTAGCTACTCATGAGGCGCAACAGTGGAGCCATTAACAAAATTAAGACAAAAGAAAAAATCAAAGATGGGTCATAAAGTTTTTTTCCCACCAAAACATTCCATGTGGAGGTTACTTTACTATGGGTAAGACCATGAAAAGCACGCTCAAGTTGTGGCCGCTTCGTCAGTACATGATTGCAACAAATTCACAATGCTTGATGTGTCACAATATTTATTTTTCTGACATCTAATAAGCCAAATAGAAGCAGTGGTGCCACATATAAAAATACTATATAAATTATGAATGCAAATTATTTTATTCAGTGTTTCTCACAATGAGGTGGGCTAATTACAGTTAAACATAATTAAATATTCTTTATTTGTAGTGAATTGTGCAGTTGGTCAGTGTCCTTTAAGTACTGATGATATCCTATGCTCAGAAAAGCTTTTGTGATGTCATTTATCATGATAATGATAAATATTATCATATTGCCCAGACCTAGTTTGAACCCTACAATATTGATGCAAAGAGTGGAGGTTTAGATGAGTATAGCTGTGCAGGTAGGTTCATGACAATCTCTAAAAGGCGCAGCAAGTTTCTTGGTACGTTTTAAAAAATGTCTTGTTTTCAGAAAAAACAGAGGGTTTTTAGAGAGGAGTGACGTTTGCTTGGCTAGCTGTTTGATATGAAGCGCATGCTGTCTATAGCTTTTAAAAAGAGCTGCATTGAGCTGTCTTGTTTGGCATTTGTTTGTCACACAGCGAGATCATCTTGTTGTTGTACAAGATGCTTCTATGTCCATATATAATGTAGGATGTTATTTAAAAATAGGAAAAATGTTGTTTATTCCCTGAAAAAACGATAGAGTCTCATCAGCCCACTCATATCAGTGCTCTATTGACTTGTGTATGCCGTGCGGTGCACCGTGGGAACTCACTGTTATTAATATGAATCACTTATTAGGTTCATCTATAGGTTCCTTTTCTGTTTTCACACACTTGAGAAATGACTCCTCCAGAATTCTTCCTTTATTTCGCTTCGAGGAGCTCTACACCCATGGGCAGCCTTTAGGAGCTTTTCTGCCGAGTTGAAATGTTAATGAGCTCTTCTGCATCAGTAGGCGCAGTAAGGTGGTTGCTGACATTTGTAGCAGTTTTTATTCTAACTCACACAGTGACCTGGAGGGGTTATGGATATGCTGGTGTCAGCCGATCGCTTCCATAGCTATGACACCCAGCCATATCTGACTTCAGACTAGAGAGCTGCACGGGAAGATAGCAGTAACAGTTTTTTCCCTATGGTGTCAACTAGGGTCAGGCTGTATGACGGTGATATATACCCTGGTATTTAAAGGTGCAGTGTGTGAGGCCTGATTCACACATACTGCTTCTGCATGGCGTGAGTGACATGGAAAGTCTTGCTTTCCATTTCAGTGGCCACGTTAACTGGTCAGCACTTTCACACAGGCTGCGTGTTGGCAGAGTGTCCCAAATGCTGCACTGAAGCAACACGGTATTTCGAGGATAGACCTGGCGCAGATTTTTTCTAGCGCATCACACAGGAAAATACACTGAAATAAGTCATGAAAATGAATGAAAATTAAGCAAAGTGTCATATACAAACTTTTAATTTAATTTAATTTAAAACATGATGAAATACTAGTTAAATATTCCATGCTGCAGACAGATTTCCCGGTTGGTCGACCAGGCCTGAAACTTTTTCCTAATCACAAGTCAGAATGCTGTCAAGGACAAACAAATGTACCGTGCACTTTAATAAATTATATTTTTGTTGAGCAGAGTGACTGATGTGCCCATTTATCTGTCCGGAAAAAGGAATGTCTGTATAACATTCTCGCTGCTCTGCTCCACGGTAGCATGTGTGAATGAGATCCAAGATCTAGTGGCATCTAGCAGTGAGGTTGCAGATTGCAACCAACTCAGTACCCCTCTATCACTTTTCCCTTTCCAAGCGTGTAGTAGAACCTACAGTACCTGTTGCGTTTTCTGCCGATTTGCTTCTTTATGTTTTCACTGCTTCGACAACGAGGGTTTACCCTCTTTTGCTTTTTCTTGTGCTAAACAATAAGTTTGATCCTCATTTCTCATAATTTGGGTTCTCATGTTTCTCACAACACAGACTGGTTAGCCAGCACCTGCCGCAGCCATTGATTCTACTTCTTTCTGCGTCTTCCAGTTGGTGCTATAGAGCCCCAAAATTCAAGCTGTCGCTTCAACTTGGAAATGCGGAAGGCTTTCTGTAGAGACAGTGTTTGGTTTGTCTGTTCTGAGCTGCTGTAGAAATGTGGTGGTGCAACATGCCGGCCTCTGTTGGAAGAGGACCCACTCCCTATGTAGATATGAAGGGCTCATGCTAAGCTAACAAAAACACAATGATTCGTAGTTACAGGTAATTATGCACTGTTAAAACATGGTTTTGTATACTATATTCCATTTCTGCTAAAGGATCCCCCTAAATTTTACACACTGCACCTTTAAAAATGATGCCGTTATTTAAAAATGATGGTGACATTTTAAAATTATGCCACACCTGAATGGATGAATGAACACATTCCACCCGTTTATATTTTAGAGGGCCTCACTGATTGGTGGTGTAGGAGTTCACAGATAGGTGGTGCTAATAGAAAGAGGGGAAAACCCAGAGCCAAGAAAAACCTCAGAAACGCTAAGCAGGACATCAGCTCAGCTATAGCCAAGAGCTAGAATAGCCACAGAATACATTTGAATTTGCCTTTCTCTGTAACACCAGGTGCTCTCAGATATAGCCTAAATCAGTGTCATTTTAACATTAGTTAGCTGGAACCAAGCCTGTGCTGTGGTGTATGGCACGTTTGGCTTGCTAACTAAGCTCTTATTAGCTTAGTCAAAACGTTACAGTCCTAAACATCACAGAAGTTAATCATCACAGGCAACAGTCATAATCAAACCTGTACTGTGGTGTGTGGATCTGTCTTTAACCTGCTTGCTAATCTGCCAATAAGGCCAGATCCAAGCACCATGGTACAGATTCAGTTTCGCCTTTCTGTCTCTTGGTGACCATGTAAGTGTTTAACACAGGAAGATGCAGCAAAAAAGCATCACAAATACTTTGACATCACTTACGAGCCCCCCCCCCCACCATGGGTATAATGACGTATATTATGGTAGTATTTGGAGACGGTTTAAAAAAGGGATACCACCCAATCCTAGTGACATCTTGAATGAGGATACACTTCACAGTATTCCCATGAAAATGGTCAGGAAATATCTGTTAACACAGCGGGAATAGTAATGAAAAGACCAGTTTGTTTTTTTACAACAGCCAAGGTGAATTCATTCCATATGCTTAACCCACCATTCTCACTTTGACCGAGCGATCTCTCTCGCATACCGATCTCACTTGATTTTCTTCGTCCTCCTTCACTGCTTAGTAACATTGCTATCAAACTGCTTAGCAGTCCATGACTACCTTGAAGTTTTAGTTCTTTAGAGGGCGTTTCCTGTGTGTATATATTTTGAATGGAAAGCTCAAAATGCGGTCAGATGTGCCTGAGGGACACCTAACAGTCTGACAGACTGAATATTGTTTTCTATCCATTTTAAATGCCAAAACCAACTTTAAAGACATCTGGTTTAGATTTTTCTGTGTAGTACACCTCACCATCAGCTTAATGCAGACAGCAAAATGAACAAAATCCATGTTTGTTTAAAGGTGAGTCATTTCATTTGCTGTTTAGTTAGTAATATGTGATCATTTTTCTGAATAATAAGCTTTGAAGTGAGATTAAAATCTTTGAATGGAAAATGGGCATTTATGAAATTATTCCACAAAGTTTTGAAATAGTGGAAATTAGAAAAGTTCTAACGTGTGTCTCTTGCTCTTAAAATTAAGTCTAGCAGATGAAAAACTGTCCAAAAGTGTAGGGAGAAATATTTACATTTCAGGTTTACCGTTATATTTCCAATATCTTGCAAAACTGTATGACGCCCTTAAAAGTCATCAGATTTGTCTGGATTACAAATATCATTTATACACATTATTCCAGGTGATATGTTTGTTTAAAACAAACTTTCAAAGTCATGTTTCATTATTTGTCAGAACATCTTAAAAAATATGTACAACACTGAAAAATACTGTTTGCTTAAGTATTTAGACTAGTACTTGATAGAACCACCTTTTGCTGCAATAGCAGCTTCACGTCTGTTGTGGTGAGTTTCTACCAGCTTTGCGCACTGTGTCTAATTGAATTTGGCTTTATTTTTTCATTACAGTGCAGTGTGGAGGCATCAGAATGTGCTGTGTTCAGTTCTTCTAAATGGGATGTCGACTTTATATAATGCAATTCAGACGGAGTTACAAAAGCTAGAAAAACTTTATGAGGATATTTAGCCATAGCAACTAAACAACCCCATGGCTGCTTTCTTTTGCTTTTTTAAAGCTTTTGTTTCCTGGCAGAAATTGGAATATAAATCTGTCTTAAGTATTGAAATACAGAGGTTTGATGGCCTGCAAGTCATCACTTCATTAGAAAATCTCTGCCTTAGCTTTGCAGCGTACTCTTAAGTTTTGTGAAGTATGCATGCTCACAATGTTTTTGAGGCGTATGGCATGACATTTTAGGAGGTATTCTCGTTGGTATGCTTATGTGAGTGTTTTAAAGTTGTTTTTGCATTTAGTGTGTTGGAGTGGATGAACATTTTTTTTGAAAACAAAAAACTGGATTTGGATTTTAAAATATCCAGACACATTTGGATGAGGCCTTAGTTTGGCTCCACTCACGCTTCTTTCCTTATTTTGTCTAGGATTAAGAAATGTGAGCAATGTTATGAAAACTGAGAATTCTGTGAAAAACATACTCATGGTTCCTGTGTTTGTTTTCAGAGCATGATGAGTGTATAAGTGGACTACACAGCTGCGATGAGAATGCGCTGTGCTTCAATACGGTGGGAGGACACAGCTGCACCTGCAAGCCAGGATACATGGGTAATGGCACTGTCTGCAGAGGTGAGTGCACATGCATTACTATCCCCACTATTTCATTCTCTTAAATCTATGACTTGCGGTGCTGCGGCCCCTTATTTTCTCAGTTTATATTTACACTGACTTCTGCTGGCATTCGCAACCAGTTTTTCCAGTTCTTATAATGGAGAATTTATCAGCCCCCCCTCTACCCCGTACATCAATAGAAAGGGACCGCTATAGGACCACTGCTGACCAGATATTATTTGGACAGTGAATCGTTCTCAGCACAGCAGTAACAATGACATGTTACTGTGTGTTTCACTGGTACAAGAGTATCAGACACAGCAGTGTTGCTGGAGTTTAAACATCTATGTGTCCCTGCTGGGAAAGTCCACCCACCAAAACTATCCAGCCACAGTGGTCCTGCAGTCACTGTATGACTATTGATGGAAGGATAAAGGTCAACTGACAGAAATAGTGCATGGAAAAGATCAGGCAATGTCTATTTACACTAAGTGAAAACAGCATTAACTACAAAGCTTGGCTATTTGTACTAACTACGCCTGGTAAATCATGTGACAATAACACAAGAAAAAGCTTATTTTAGCTGTAAATTGCATATTTTCCAGGAACAAAAACAAGATAGCATTGGAGTAAATAAATCTTTTTATTTTTTTAATTTAAATTTATTTATTATTATATTTATTATTAATTAATTAAATAAATAAATAATTAAAATATCAATCTAACGGTAAGAATTGTTAAAGGTGAAACATTTGTGACAACAGAGTGATGCTAGTTGGTGTAGCGCTGTGGGTAACACCAAGGCCCTTCATGTTTAAAACTAGGGTTTGATTCACCATCTGGGTCAGAGGTCAGCAATATGCGACTCTTTTACTGCCCTGTTGCGGCTCCACAGCAGAATTAGATTTTTAGGTACAAATAAAATAATCCTCCTTTGCAGTAAAGTAAAGCTCTGCTAGTCGTTCTAACACAGTTTTAACAATAAATGGTCTGAAACGCTGGAGTTAACATATAACTGCTAATTCACCTTTAACCCTGGAGCTTGGCACTCAGACTGCTGGTCACATAGCAGCAACAACAATCTCACCTAGCTAGTAAATAACAAAACGGCAAAGAGAAAGATTTAAGACAAACATTGATCATTTGGAGATAAATGGACTTATTTGCAATTATAAACACTCAGCTGGTTTCCTGATATGTTTACCCTGCAACGAGAAACTGTCAAACACTAAAAAGTCGCAAAGCTGAAGTCAACTTCTCATTCAGCAGCTTCTTGTTTGAATTTTCTCGTTCTGCCTTAAATGGTGCAGCAGTTACATTCTGGCGCCTCAGGCACCATTTAAGGTGGAACAGGAAAATTCGAAAAAGAAGCTGGCAAATGAGAAGCTGCTTTAAGCCTAGTAAAAAGTTGTATACTGAGAGACATTTTACCAGGCACTGTTCGTACTTTTGAGGAAAGGTTTCCTGCCAGAGATGCGAGAAAATTGCTATAGTTGAGCTAAAGCTTAAAGCAGAGCAAAATCTGTGTTTTCGTTTATATTATAATTTTTAGCCTTTACTAGTGCATCAGCACATACTGAGACATATTTACAGCTAAGATGGTAAAATGGGCATAAAATGTTGTGGCTCCTAAGGTGGTTTGATTTTTGTTGAAAGTACAAAATGAGGCAATGAGAGAATTTGCACTCTGTTTTCAATAGTTGTTCTTTTGGCATTATAGCTTGTCAGTTAATGTTTTTTAAAATTTTAATTAAAGAGAGTTAAGGTCAAGAGAAGTGTCCATTGTTATTGTGTTAAACAAAATTAGTCCTTCAAATCAACTTAAATTTTTGCAGTCAAAATGAAAACGCACTTTTGATAGTCATTTGGACAAATTATTTATTTATTTTTTTTAAAAAATGCATACATGCTGTGTATAAGTAAGTGTAGATGTAATCAATAGAAGTAACAAGTCAAACAGGGATAATAACCCAAGAGAGTGTTTAGTAAGAATGACATCCGCACAGTACAGCTTAGAGGAAAAGCAGAATAATTTTTATTGCTGACATATAGGCTAACACTGCTGAATTAATACCAAGAAATAGAATAAAATAAGCGTATAATTAAGTAAATAGCATGATGTTACTTTGAATGCAGTTTATAATGTGTACATAGCAACATCATTCTATTTACACTTAAATAGCATCTCCCAAAAGATAAACTATAGTTATTAACTGTACAACTACAAGGAGCACAAACCAGGTAGTCTAGTGTGTCTAATAAAGTGGGCCGTAAGTGAGCACGGTTTAAAAAGTCGAGTAACACTGCTGAGCCTGATACGGTCATACCAGCGCAAAACACACTACCATGTTAGTATTACCACTGTGCCGAGAATCCACCACCCAAATAATATCTGGTCAGTGGTGTTCTTACGGTGGGCTCTTTCTGTTGGACAGGGTAGAAGGAGATAAAAAGTTGTGCAGTTACAGATGGACTGCAGTCAGTAATTGTATATGTGCGTATGTTTGTTTGCTCTGCAGCACAGTGTGATGGGCTGTGCCATAACGGAGGTTCCTGTGTGGCTCCTGACACTTGCATCTGCCAGCAGGGCTTCACTGGGAGGAGATGTGAAACAGGTAGGAGTGTATGATCTGCTGCTAGGCTCAGCTTGAAACCCAGAGCTCAAGTAGATTTATAGAATGTAAAAATATGTTATGGGGAATGTAACAAAGACTCAGTGGATGGCATATCAAAGGCAGTACAAATGCAATCAGATGCATATTGTTTTGCTTTGATGGTTGTGGTATGGGCATATAATGGTAAGGTAAAAATAAAAAAGAATTACTATAAGTTACAGTTATATGCAAAAGTTTGGGCACCCAGGTCAAGTTACATGTTTTGTTGATTCTCTAATCTACAGAGAACACACTTACGCACATTTAAATGCACAACTACTGTTTATTTACTGAATTCAACATATTTGACAAAAAAAGACATAAAAAGTGACTTGTGCAAAAGTTATGCCATATTTTAGGTTTTTTTTTTCTGTATGTTAAAAGCAAATTTAAGTGTGTTCTCCGTAGAGGATGTGTTAACTTATTTTCACTTCAAAAATCAACAAAAAATCAACAAAACATGTAACTTGACCAGGGGTGTTCAAACTTTTGCGTCAGACTGAGTGCCTCACCACACGATCCAATCTGAGAATTTGTCCATGTCCCCTTAAACTTGTTTAAATCTGCCACCAAAGGAGTTAAGACACGCAAATGTTCACGTTCAGCCAGAGTGAAACATTTCAGTATGTAGAATTAGAGCTTTCTGTGTACCGTGTTTTTCCTGTGTACCTCCGTATAAAAGATGTATGAGGCTTCCTTTATTGTTGGATGCGCTGTAATATTTTCTAACTGTGCACATAAGCTCACTCAGTGCGATTCTGATCAGTAAGCTTGATTATTGACTGGATTTATCAGAGTAACGATAAAACGTGACAGATATGAGACTCCTGTTCCTATTCACATGTTTTCTTATTCAAAATGGAGTTTTCCAAAATGTTAGATCGCTTACATATCAAATGAATGCAGCAACAGCACTGAGAAATCACATGATTCTCAGAGATGAGCAGATTAAACACCAGAAGTACAAGTAGTACAATACAAGAATAAAATACAAGAATAAGTTTTTAAAGCCTAAACAATAAAAATGGACTGAACAATAATAAACCACGCATAGCTTTTCAAATATTCCAAAATATTTTCTTGAAAAAGGAGACTTAGGAAGCCTTTAAAAGACTTCATTAAAAAAAACCACTTTTTTTTAACAATCCATATAAATGATAGCAGTAGGAGAATTTAAAGTTAGTTGGCAAACTGCCAACCAATTATTGCCATTTCATTGAGAGGGTACATTTTAATTTATATATATATTTTTTAAGTACTTGTGACAGCCCTACACCTAATGTAGAGTACTGTTCATTCAGCAGAATGGAAGTAGAGGCTCTTACCTGCACTCTTTTTTAAAGTGGGGGATGCTTTGTGCATGTGTATGTGTGTACATGTGTGTTGCCCATTGCGTAACAGTGCCACAGCAGGACATCTGGCTGGAGTCCTCAGCAGCATTTCAAGTGGCAGGACAACACCCACTCGCTCACCACTATGTGTGAGTGACAGCAGCATGAGCGAGAGAGAAAGAGAGAGAGAGATCCAAAGTGCTAGTGTGAAAGCAGCCAGGTTGTGTGAAGCTTGGTTAGTGAAGCTCCAGCATGATTGGCTGCCTGTCTCTGTGGTTGTGTAATTCTGGTGTTCTTGGAGAGAGCTGACAGTGACACTGATAAGGTGACAGTTACTTTTCTACCCTTGGCGGAAAGTGTGTGCCCGCAGACTCGTCACTCAGTGCACGCCGTTCACAGTGTGTATTTATTTTATCAAATAAATGCAATTCTGCTTCTTATCTTCCTCGTGATTCCTGTCATGCCAGGCCATTATGGAAATGTCACTGCTCAAGTGTTCAAATGATGACTTGATATTATTTTTACATATTGCACATCACTATTGGGCAGTATACTGGTTCATCTGGTATACCATTTGAAATTTGTTTCTAGTTCACTGTTTTGCCACAAATAAGCACAGTTAACTCAACATACATACAGTGCAAAAGATGCTAAAGCCCTAATCTCCTGTGTAATGAGTTGCAGTCTCAGGTGAGTTAGTCCAGTTTATTTTTAAGGTAGCTGACATTAGATATGTAATGTAATATAGAATATTAGTAATGACTTAAAGGGGGAAAAGAGGTGGGAGAAAAAGCTGCCACCTGCTTCAATACCAGTTTTTACAAGCCATCCTCCATTTGGCCTTGTTATTTTCCCTTGAGGGAATCCCGGTGATGTCTTAAAAGCTGTTCCATTACTGTATTAGCTCAAATGAATTGTGTCAGATAAGCCCTTTGAGGGGCAAGGGTCCAAGTGAACACAAGGGTTCACCTTAGCAGCAACACTTGTAAACTACTCTTATAGTCTCTTATACATTAATACTGGTACAACTTCACTATATTATCTGTGAAAACAGAAATTGGGGATTGGACGCAGTATCGGTTCATACCCACTGTTAAAGGCCTCGTACCAGAATGGCAGGTCAAAACACAAATTGGGACGTACTTAATTAAACTGTAAGTCATCTTGTATATTAAACTAATCCAGAATAGTCTTCTAGACAAAATAAAACCAAAAAATTTGTGCGTTATGTCCTAAATCCATATATTAAATAGCCTCCCGCAATGTTGTTCACCTTCGAGTTGCGAACGGTTGGAAAGGTTGTGCTGTAATGGCTGCATGCACCATTTCTGGTTTAAGACTGAGCTTAGTGGAAACATTAGCTTGTTTAGAGGTAAGAGAAAAGATGGTTATTTCACATAAGAAGCCCAAACTAAAGCTATCAGTTCAGAAAGGTATCATTTTTGTTATGCTGAGGTCCTAAAAAGGCACTAAAAAGTATTGAAGTTAAAAATTCTGCAGCTCTGGACAAGTCAAGAGGCTCTACAGTAATTGTTTTTCAACTCTCGTCCTGGTTTCAACACAATTTGCCCCACCTGCTCCAGCTAATCAACCTCTTCCCAAGTCGCTGATTTGCTGGATCAGAAGTATAGGAGTTAATTATGGAGCCAGGGAGTTTATTGGATACAGGTTGGAACTAAACTCTGCAGGAGCAGGATTGTTTGAAGACCATTGCTCTACAGCTTCTGAGCTAATGCTGACAGAGCGAAGGACTGTAATATTCACCAGATTCCAGCAGTATATGATGGATGGGCATCACTATGCACTTACATGTGCTCTCCTTTATTTTAGTAGTGTTAGACTAAAATATTGTTAGTGTTAGTGTTAGTTTATGTATCTTCTTCATGTGTTTTGCTATTTTGCGCAGATTCTCTTCAGTTGTTAAATATAGTTCTTATTGAAAGTGAAGGGACATTCCAGAATACACTGTTAGAAATAAAGGTTTTGTGCGGGTACATTTTTCGTTTATCGAGGTACAAACAATGTAAATGTGCCTTCGAAGGTATATCAGTGGTTTGAAGGTCCAATTGTGCACCTTAAGTATGTTTTTCCCAGTGGAAAAATAGATATTTGCACCTTTTCGTAACCTAATGTTTTAAAACAGAACAATACAATAAAAAGCCTGGAGATGCAACGTGGTGTGTGGAGTCAGTACAGCTTGGAAAATATAATTTCAATGGATTATGATACAATGATATATGTTCCCTGACTGAAGGTACTGAGATGTATCCTTGAGGGTATAACCCCAGTGACAAGAGGGGTACTGCCCCAGTGACAGTTTACTACCTTTTTTTCTGAGAGTGTAGTAAATCACTGTTAAACTACAAAAATAGGTTTACTTAAGCATCTTTTTTTAATTATTATTATGATGTGAGATTCACCAAAGCCAATAAAAATGTCAATTGTACATTTAATTGATTAAAATTTTTGGCCATTTCTACTGCATGTGCAAATATTCAAGAATGAAGTGCAAATCTGTGTTCAACTAAAACCTCTCTTTCTCTCTATTAGAAGGGATTCCATTATTAAACACACTGCCTTTGTCAGTGAACCTCTTTGTCAATTCTAGAAAATGTGCGGTGCTTATTGCCGACACGCTAATACCCCTGCTCAGATTAGAATAGAAAAAGCAATCCATTAGTTTCACTAGATCTTACATTTGCAGGTAAAGAAGAAAAGCATTTTGGGAGAACATTATTGTTATTCCACATGTGTGCTTAATGAAAAGCATCTACCAAGGCACAGTGTTATCTTCTCAATCAAATGTTCTCCTCAACCAGAGACAATTTGTGAATAAAACAGGCTGGAGGAGGAATTTCTCTCTCTCTCTCTCTCTCTCTCTCATTATGAGGCTGTAGGAAATGAAAGTGAGCGAGCGAGCGAGTGGGAACTCATGGTGCCTTTAATACCCTAGGCTTTAAAGCTGGAGAGATTGGCCCGTGTAAAAACCCTGAGGAGTGCCTTAGATCCTTAACAGACGTTCTGCTCATAAAGAAAACCCAATTACCGTAGGTCCCTAGGGTTAAACACCCGGGGCCAAATCTCTCCCTTTCCTCTTGAAGAAGACATTTGTGCACGCATACCGGACAATGCTTTCTACGATATGTGAACAGGAAAACACGCTAAGCTCTTGAGACCGATCTGGTTTGAATGCAATAAGCCCCAAGTTTTAGTTTTTACAATAAGGGCAGCACTCAGGCTCCTTCAATCACGGCGGTTCTCTTAGGAATGCTGTACTTAGGGAGACATTTGTTCATATGAAATGCCATAATGGAAAGCTACTGCTATCAAACTTTAATGAGGACGTCTTTGGAAGTGGGATCTCTCTGTGTAGTTAAGAAAGTCCCTCAGGAAGCAGGATAATGGTGTATATACAGAGACAGAAAAGAGCTTGCACTCTACTTGTTTAAGCTTGTTAAAATTTATTTTCGTTTCCAGTATGTATTCAGAGGCATTTCCCGTCATGTTCATTTAAGGTTGGTTAATTAGCATTTATAAACACGAGAGAGGATGGAGCGTTCTCATGCTTTGCACCGTAAATTGGTTCAACGCAGTGTTTCATGTAAGACAATCTCATTTCAGCAGAGATAT